TATGAGTGACCTTTTAGTGGTGACAGTCAAGACACGTGGAATCCATCACACATCACATCCATCAGTTCATCCATTCCATTCCTATTTGGCACCCGCATAGTGTCACAAACTGGCAGAAATATTACATACTTACCGGTTGCAAAGTTTATTAACTGAAATGGACCAGAAAATTAAATAGGTTCGATAGAGAAAGAGAACATACGAACTGATAGATGGAATATGGGGAAAAACCTGGGTAAAAGTAGATATTACGAGGAACGTTAGACTCTGTATCACATTTTTCTGCTCATTTGTGGCTCTAGGATCCGAGGTTTCCTCCTAACTAATCCTAACTCTCTCAAACGGGATTAAACGCACATTTAAACTGCCGTAGCGTAAAAAAATGTCTTAAAAAATTCAGAAATTGCTAGATTTTTTCTGATAAATTAGGATTCTTCTGGAAAATTTCAACATATTTTTCTTTGATTTTTTTCTGAGAATTTCTTTTGCTTTTCATTCCAACACATAAAAAAATTCATTTGAGAATACCCACGAGTTTTGTGAAAATAAATTTTTCACTTCTCAGAGATATTTGGCAATATCCAAATGCGGTCAAGTCGATTTTTTTATACATGACATCACAGTAGGCAAAAAACCAAACTTAAAAACCTCCTGCTAGTCGTCCGTGCTTACGAAAAACGTCATATGAAAATCCGGACGCCGTTGCCATACTCCTGAAAAATGCGAATTTTAAACGGAACAGAATGAATTCTTTTCTTCAAAATTCTTAGAGAATTTCTAATCCAGCGTGACTGATTTCAAGGAACAGTGCTTATATTTTTTCTCTATGTCCACGATAAGTCAATCGGGGAAAATCGGTAGCATTTGGATGCCCTTATTTCATCAGCATGGCAAACAAGCTTTTGTGCGTGGTGCGAGCAGAGAATCACCTCATAAAGGCCCCCTTTTCGCTAAACCTATATGTAGAGATTCCATCATAAAAAAACATATGATAAGCATTAAGCCGAGCCCCCGGTGAAGTTTTAGCTTGAGCTCAAGGCTAGTGTCAACGATTCAACGTTGCGCAGTTTACATTATTGACAGTTCAACTTGCATGTTTTTGAAAAAGTAACTATTGTGTAAGTATTTCCAATTTGAGTGTTCAAAAGTAAGGATTGCCAGGAAGGAAGGCCGCATTGAATTCAAGCTCACGTTCAGCCTTGACTTTGTGGCTGAAGTTTTTGAATCGTCCAAGACCGGCTGGAAAAATGCTATATAGTTATTGGAAAATTTAGGATTCTCGCACTAAATTCGGAGGCAACCCTGCGTTGAAGCGTGCCTTAAAATCTCGGCAGAACGTTTGCAAGGCCTTAAATGTTCTGTAGACTTAAAATTATCGCGGATCTCTTGCAAAATCGGACGTATTAATTCTAAAAGGAACTATGCTCCTAGGGTTTACATGCAACATATAGTTCCCTCTAGTCAATCTGTTTTGATGCGTATATATTTAATCATAGCTAAAATTCCAACACACTTTTTCACTTAATGTTCGGGAAAAACAGAAGGTTTGTCGAAAACTCTCATGCAACAGGCGTTTAGTCATTTCTCAGATCACTGTCATGTGCCCTTTTTTAAGCAGGTCGAGCACTTATTTCATGCACAGAAAATTTTACCTGACGGATGCAGAAAATGGAAGACCCTGAAGAATGCCCTGGAAGGAACCCTATCAGACATTTTCAAAATGATCGTTCTTACGGCTCTTTTGGTGTGCAAAAGTTCAATTTTAGGAGAGAGGGCATCAAAATTATAAGCTCTTTGACCTCTGGAATTCTCATTTTTGTCATAGTTCATTCTTTCGTTTGACGGGGTTAATTTCTATGATATTTGCGACTTTTGGCAGGTGATATCCCCAGATGATCCGGCTCTTTTTCAGATTATTGAAATATGATCCAGGTCTGTCACGAGATAAGTTGCGTGCATTCTCCTATTTAAATTATCTAGATGTTCATTTTTTCGCCTCAGTTCGTTGGGAAAATCTTCCAAGCCGATTTGCATGCTTTTTGCGGCTATTGATGAGAGATAATCTCCGCCTATTCTCCCATTGACTCGATCTACTGTGCGCTATGCGGCCTAATCCCCAGATGGCGTTTCGCATCTTCTAAGGCCAGCTTCCTCCGGGCTCTCGTTGACTAATCTAAATAAAGCGGGATTATCAAGAGACTCTCTCCCATCAGTAGCCGCAACAATAATGAAAATGGGCTCAATAGATCTTCTGGACGACTTGTGACAAAAAATGAACATTTATATTGTCTCTCCGGTAGAAGTGGAGAATAATGACCTCGTCATTGAGACATCACAATGCTTATGGAACAAGTCTCTACAATTTCACACTGATATCAATCTGACTTCACTCTGACATTCAGACATCACTATGATGACATTGTGATGGCAGAGTGTTAAGCGGGCATCACTGTGACGTCACATTGCTGTGAAACACATAGTGGATGTCATTATGACATCAGAGTGATGCCACTAAGTCCAACTTTTATCAGGACTAACTATGAGAATTTACAACTTTGGTTCGTAACATTAAAAAGACGTGGGTCATATTCCCAAAATCTGAATAGTCTCTTCAAGGGATCACGTTTTTTCTCGGGAATGTCAAATCTGGCTTCACTCTCGGAAAATGTACTTTCCTCCAGAATTTTCTAAATCGAGCTTTCCTACCCACACTCAACTTTTGCGTGGCGGTCCGCGACCATCCCAAATCAATTCTGACTTGGCGCCAGTCGCCACACGGTGGAGTGAAGCATAGGAATGCCCGGTCATCGCCTTGCTCCCCAACTTGTTTCGACTATTCCACTCGTTCCAATGGGCATTTCGTGATGAAACTTGGGCATCTTATGGTATTTTGATCGTAGAATTCATTTTTGACCTTACTTTACTTGATTTATTGACGGAAACACATAATTTTGGGGGTTCTTTTTAACTTTCAGTAGACACGTGAAAACATAAGTTACTCAAAGATAAATTTCACTCGTTCCTGTGGACATTTCGTGTTGAAACTTCGCTGGCTTGTGGTATTTTGATCGTAGAATTCATTTCTGACCTTACTTTTCTTGATATGTTGACGCAAACGCACGATTTTTGTGGGTTTTCAAACTTTCAGCGGAAACATAAAAAGATAAGTTGCTCAAAGATAAATTTTACTCATTCTTGTCGAAATTTCGTGTTGAAATTTGGTGCAATCATGGTATTTTGAACGTAGAATTCATTTTTGACATTAGAATTGTTTGTATGTTAACGTAATTACACTACTTTGGTTTTTCTTTTTTTTTTAAACTTTAGGTAGAAATATGTGAAAAGAAAAGTTACTCGAAGATAGAATTAACTCGTTCTGATAAAAAATACGTGTTGAATTGTTGATGCACGATCATACTTTCACCTTAGAACCAATTTTTGAGCTTAATTTTGTTAGGTATTCTTTTCTCATGCATACGTGCTTTTGAAGGATTTATTCAATAATCGATCGGAATGCACAAAGAAAATTTACGCAGAGATTTTATCTGTTCCGATTGACAATTTATGTTGCAACTATTGATTTCCTGTGATATTTTCATTGAGGAAGCAATTTTTATCGATACTATGTGATCTCTCAATGTAATGAATGCTCATATTTCTATATCGATTATGAAAAAAATATGGTATTACCGTTACCTTCTACACTGAAAAAAAGAGATAGGGGTTTAGTCCCAACTGTTGGATGATATGGACAATTCCAATTAATTGTGGTGATACCCCAATTCATTGTGGTAGTACCCCGATTAATTGTGGTAGTACCCTCTTTCATCAAGATCGACACCGCTATCTTCATGAAGATCTGAAATCAAAAGCTCGCGGTGGATGTCCTAAGGATCGAGAACTTTTGATTTCTTCTTATTTGAGGAATTATATCTAAACAAACAGAAAACACGGAACACGGAACAACACGAAACACGGAAAATTAAAGATCAATAACACTAACAACGAGATTAAATTACACGGTAAATCGGTCCATCTCATATCACGAATCACGATGTCTCAGAATCAGCTGGGACACTTCCAACGCTTTGTAAAGGATTTTATATATACCACGCCTGAAGCGCCAAGCGCTTAGGGAGGTTGGGCTGCGAAGTGGTCAGGGAATGTAACCCCTTCTATGATGAATAATTCATTCAAAGGTATTGATAGAACATTCAACATTTTTATTTTCTGCCAAACAATCATATAAGATAAAAGCAAAAACAGCTCTGTTTCCCCGCCTCGATCGCGAGTTCGCGAACCTATCAAATGATGAATTTTGGCCAAAAAATTGGCAAAAGTAAGGTCAAAATTGAATTCTACGATGAAATTACTGTAAGTACATCAAGTTTTAAAATGAAAATCCGACTGAGTGTATTAAGACGCCAAGATAATCAAGTAAGATGTAGAGAAACAGCGAATTCCGCCCTCACTTTTTCGGACAAAAATTGATGTAACTCTCAAAGCGGCAGCTGGCGGCAGCCAAATACGACGGATTCCTCATCCTGGGGGATCACTGGAACACGCCTTATGCATGATTGGACGGCGAAATGCGGCGAAATTTTTAAAAGTCTATTCAAACATTTATTTTCTTATTTTCGGAAGGGTCATCTTTGATCAGACATTACAACGTAAACAATTGAGTAAATTTCACTTTTTAATAGTGAAATATGTTCTTCATACACTCTAGAATAAGATCCAAGCGTTCATATTTGTGTCAATTATCGTCACTCGAAGAGGCAGGTATGGAAACCGACCTTAGAAAACAGAGCAAAATCGGCCGTTACAGAAAATGTCAACTTCAGGAGTCCAGGGAGCAAAAGCATTTGAAAAAATCATCAAACCAACACTAGATTCATATAATATGGATCCTTAGGAACACATTCCATCACATCTTTATGCAAAACATGAGAACACCCCATGTCCGAGGTTTTACCCATTTCGTCCCACTGAGCGCCAGTCCTACACCGCTCCTAGATTTCCGCGGGCCTATTGCGCATTAGGAATTTAATCGGATTATTTCGTTTGGTTTTGCAACGTCGCCAGTGAACGGAAAAGTTTGAGAGTATATATGAACCTGTCGAAACCACCGATAACTCCCGTTAGCCTCCGACAGGGAACTGTGTAACGTAGTCCTGAACAATTTGCTACTCGTTTGCAGAGCGCTAATGCGAAACCCTCTGATTGTGAAGCATGTAATTTGTGACAGTGCTGAGTGTCATGCCGGTTCTTAAGAGCGTGTGTATTTTGTTTTTCGGGACTATAACACAGGTAAATACCACCCAAAGTGTACATCTATTGCAGTCAAATAGTCTAATCAAACGCAGTCAGTCACATTTTAAAGATTCATCAAATCCTCCTCTTGTTTTTTAGTACATATAACTCTTAGTGTAATAATTCATATCAATGACCTGGGTGTGAAACCCCATATCTCCGTTTTTTATATTGCGGACTTCCTGTTATTTTTCATTTTTTCTTTGATAAGTTAGTCAACGTAATTTCTTGAAATCTTCCTTGATTTTTCCTCTCTGTTGGCAAAATATTCCGTGTGAAGTTCAAGCTATAAAGTTTGCTTGCTTCTATTCTAAAAAATAAAATGAGGGTGGAAACTTTGAAACAGCGCAATGAAGATACGGGGCTTCGCTTTTTGCTCATCTATATCTCATAAAACAGCGCCGAATATTTATATAAAATCAATCCTATTAAAAAATATTATCTTTACCCAAATTATCCCCTTAAGATCTATTTCAATCGCGGTTTGTAAGTATCATGATAGCACCTACATTTTCCAGCAAATCGATGTAGGTAAAACATGTGACCTCCAACAGATGCAGTTCAGGATTGCATCGGTATAATCGAGAATGCTTAATTGGACACCTCGTTTTAGTATTACCGGCACAGCGCGTTAGTCATCTCGTTGAGTGTCGCACTTGAAAAAAAAAAAAAAAAAATACTTTCTCCCATAAAATTGCATCGTTTTACATTACGGTATTTCGCTTGAGGATTTGAAAATTTCACCTCTCTCGATCGTTTTGTGTCGAAATACTCCGTTTCCAAATCTTGCCGTCAATTACTATATTATACTCTCGCAAAAATCAACAGTTTTGACATTCGAGGTTGAACACGAAGATAATTAATAGTCAGTTAGTTCATGTATTAAAATGATCAGCAACTATATGGCTGTTTACGTCATAGTCCAGGAGAATACATTAAATTTTATCGTCAATTTTTAGAATGTTGTTAAATTTTTGTAAGTAGTTGTCAAATTTTTGTAGAAGCATGAGTCAAATCTTAATTACTCACAGTCTTGATATTCATACTTCCCATTAGAAGCTTTTTTTTCGGAAGGTCTGAAGTTGCCGAAGATCCCATCTTTAGTTGTATATAATTTAAACATATTCTTTGTGAATGCCGCGGAGAGCTTTCTTTAGTTCTTGAAATAGCCAGAAATCGCAAGGCGCTGAATCGGAACTGTTTAGAAAATCATTCAGAGATTTTTATAAAAATAAAAAAAAGCCCCCTACATTTTTTTTTAAAAAGAATCCTCACTTTTGTGATGAGAAATATTCATTTCGAAATGAAATTGTTTGAATTTTTCTTCTTGCACCAAAAATTCTTCTTGTATACATTTTATATGAAAAATAGAACAAATTCTAAAGTTGATAATATTCAAATCGTAATCTTTCAATTTTATTTGAGCGCATATTCATGTTAGAATACTTCGTTCGGTTCAGGTTATTCCTCTTCAATATGTCCACGCAGCCAAAGAATCTGCTAGTTTGTTTCTCTCCAGTTTTATAGCGCGCAGTGTAATTCTCAAAAACACGACAGGCTGAAGTTAGCGTGTCACTAATTTTAGAATGCATTGACGATGATGCTTTTGAACTTTTCATGAGTGGACAGGTACAGAGAATAGGACAAAAAACCGCGTGGTTCAAGTATTACGACAGCAAGCATAATCTACGCTCAGAAGTTGCTTTCATGCACACATTAGTTTTCCTCTAATGAGAGACACGTGCCTATTCCTCTCACTTATTCCTCAAAAAATTCCCTAAAAAAATTAGGGTGGAAGAGAAAAGAAAAATAGCCCCTCAGGGAGTGACTAGTTGATCCTTATTCAACTTTCTTTCTAACTTCAATATGCATGACATATCCCATTGAATGTTTTTCAAGACCCACTCTAACTGAACGTGCTTCTGTCAAACGGAACTAAGTGCCAAATTGAGTTCCTTTTGAGGATTTTAAAATCCTGGATAGCGCGTTCCGTCAAACGGAACGAAGCGCCACGGAGAAGCATTGCGAGTATAGGACGGAACGAGAATCGCGTTCCGCAACACCCACCAATCAAAGCCCCCCTCTTCCTTCCTCCCCCTATGGCGCTTAGTTCCGTTTGATAGAAATTCGTCGAACTATGGTATGGGAAGTCGTCCTGACGTAGAAATCCATGGAGATTTCTACGTCAAGTTTCACACCTGCATAATATGTACTGACGTTAGCTTAAAGCCCCTGTTAAAAAAAGGGGGGAAAATCACAATGGCGGACCATGAGGTGTAATTGGCAGAGGAAATTTAGCGCTTACTCGAGTAAATTAATTTTTATAATAATCTTAACAGATCAAGAACGGTTGCCCATAAAAACTAGATTCATGGCTACCTGGAAAATACTTCGCCACATAACTAAACATTGATCAAATGAATAAAATTAACCGTACATGAACTCGCATATGAATCCAAGTAGAATAACTATAGTGTCAATGGGATGAAAATAATCTCAGAAATAATTCTACCGAAACATTGAAATACAAAAAGAATAAAGTACGTATATACGACGTGTGAAAGGCGTAGAAAGTGTTCTTTGGTGTGGCCAATAAATCAATCAGTTAAGATAAAATAATGATGATCTAAAGGAAAATGTCTTCTCTTAGATCAATGACACTAAAAATTCCTTCAGACGCAAAAAAAAGGAGTGCTTATATTTTATGAATTTTTCCTCAAAAGTGGTAACCTAAAATTAAACATTGCACTAGTACGAACCGAGTAGTATAAAATATTCATCGTGAAATTATCCTATAAATTTCAAAAAAAAAAAAAAAAAGCTGAAGAACACATGAAATGTTTATCTCTTATTGCCGTATCGTCAAAGCATACAGTCCTAACCGTTCTAATCTCATTCAAAACTTGGTTTGATCGCTAGTCAAAATCGTCTGACTTCAAACCGCCTGGTAACACGTCAACGTTATACTGTCCCCATTCAAGGCCAGTAAAATTTAACGGTTTGACGTAGAGAGGTGAAGGCGAAACTTCATAAAAAATTAATGCGGGTTTTCTCAGTTTTTCCCAAAAAAAAGAAGAAAAAAAGAAAAAAAATCCTTTAAAAAAAAGGAAAGAGAGTCAAGCCATGAAAGGAATCAAACGCAACTGGGTTTGCTCTAACACGTGATTCATGCGGGCTTTCAGACAGATCCACTTTACTCTGTGCAACAGAGGTATGGTACAATTTTTGATCCAAATCCGTGCTGCAAATGAGGAGTATTGTTACGTCAATGATGATCAGCTAACGGAGTCTCTCTACTTTTTTACTTCATTATTAGTAGAACGGACTTTAGTAGAATCAATCTAACTACATCAGACGTAGCCTAATTTCTGCTTACATTTTATTTATTTTTTTTTGTAAATAAAAATCTTACATAATGTTATTTTTACTTAAAATGTGCTATAAGTTTCTTAACCGAGGGAAAAATCCCAGAAAATTTCAAGACGTTGTTAAATGCTCTGTCAAAAAAAATAAAGCATGAAAGGAAATTAGACAACGTGAAAGGCAATTAGGATTGTAAAGCCGGCCTGTTGCAATCACGATAAAATGTTGGTAAATATTATATTTGAGAGGTCAGGGAGCAGAAAGATACGAGCTTAGATATGCAAACTAATATTTCTAAACTCCGCCCTAAAGTGAGTGCATAGAATACTAGCATGGTGCATAATTTTAATGGCTTACCTATGTAATGGGTGCTCTGAATGATGCAGTTGTATAATTTACTACCTATACCTAAACTTTGACGTGTGTACGTCTTTGTACCTACGGATTATGAGTGGATCGCACTATTCTTCAACTCATATTGAGCTCATAATTTTCAACGAATTTTTTTCCTCGGATGCGTGTAAGCACTCTTCAGAATCCTCCTTTTGGAGCACGGAATCTTTTAACTCAATTTATCAAATTTTCAATAACGAATTTGTTGTTTTTTACCATGCAATACCTTAAAAGTACCTCACTAAAAAAAAAAAAAAAAAAAAGTTACGGGCTGTATAGACATACCGTCCGACCCGGGCTCAGAGGCCGAACGTTCCGGGTGTTGGAGTCGCAGCTGCAATTACTGCGGGTACGCCAGGAACTTTCGGCCTCTGGGCCTGTAACGCGGACGGTATGTCTATTTAGCCCGTAATTACGGCTTCCGCGGCCGGAGTTTTGTTTTAGTGCTCCTTTTGAAATTAAATTCTGTGTTTTTTCAACCTGGAAAATTTTATTCATTGAAATAATATGGGGAAAATGCCTGAAGTAACACCGAAGTTAATATATAATCGTGTGTGGAATTGTGAATTCATTCATCCGTTATCATTAACTTTGACCGTGCTCCCTAACTCTTCATCCATACAGGGTTGTCACAGTCAGGGAATACCGTTAAATGTCAGGGAAATTGAAAATGTCAGGGAAATTGAAAATGTCAGGGAAATTGAAAATGTCAGGGTAAATGACGAAAATGTCTGGGAAAAATCGTCAAGTCACCGATATTGGGAGTTGCCCGATTCCCTCCCGGAGTTGGGGGTTCCGATTCCCTCCCAGGATCGGCATGGCCCGATTCCCTCCCGACGACATAAATGAAGTGAAAAAATCAAAATAGGGAAATGACAACGTTGCTTACCTCTATGAGTGTGTGTCCGAAAAGCGATGTACAAAAAAATCCTTGGAGTGTAAAGGGTTCCTCGTCAACAAATAAAAATTAGTGAAATTTCTAACAATGTACTGTCACTCGCGTCAGTTTTTAGGAAGCTCTTGCACTTTTTATTAACGCAGCACCACCTTCTCACTCCATCCTTCAGTTCTTTGTGAAAACAAAATTTATAATTTTCAACTACTAACAAATCTTTGCTTTTTTCACTTTTAATTTTCTCAAAAGAAACGGCCATGGTGAGATACGCGAGAACACTGATTCCTAGTTGCGCAATGACGATGCATTTTCGGTGGATACACCAGTGCATGCCGTTTATCTCACAATTCGAGCTCATATCGACATTTACTGGTTCCAGCTTTAATCAGTGTTGGGCATCTGTCGGTCCTCAGTTGTCAAATCGTTAAATAAAGCGGGAGGGAATCGGGCTATCACTCCGGTTTTCCCAAAAATATTCGGGAGGGAATCGGGCTATAAAAATTGACCGCGGGAGGGAATCGGGATACGCCCCCGATATTTGCCCTCTCGAGTGGGTTCTACGTTTCGAACAACAACTTTTGCCTGAAAACTATTTCTAACCATATATTCTCAACAATCTGGAATTTGTTCAATGATGTGTCCATGAATTAAATTCTCCAAATTCTGTGGCAACCCTGGTAGTTGTTTGGTTGCCATACTTTCAGGCTGCCATTATCTCGGCAAACGACACTAGCCATGGACACGCAATACAAATCTACATCGGCGAGAAAACTTACGGTGGTAACCAAGAGGCCGAACTCAGCTCTCTTCAAACGCGGGAACCAATCATACTTTGGCCATCACCGTAGCCTCCTTGGTAATGTCGAATCTGCACAACATAGAACCGGCTCTGACAGCCATCCGGGACGTCATGCGTCTCCTAAACCCCTTGGCCACTGCCAGCACCCGCCTGGAGAACGGTGGTCAGAGACGCTCGGATGGCACGATCTTCTGGAAGGGAAGGCTCCTGGAGTTCAACACTGATGAAGGGGTGCACGTGTTTGTCATCAGTCCGGAGAAATCGCTGATGATCGTCACGTCGGGCAAGAGAGTCCTCCTGAACGATTATCCTGTCTGTCAGAACACGGATCAGTTGGGCGAGCCGCAATATCGGAAATTGAAACTGCAGGATAAGAAGGAGGAAACCAAATTGTATACGTCTTGGTGGTATACGAACCTCGTGGTTGGGAACCCGATGACGGAAGAGGAAGTGACGCAGTTCATGAATCTCCAAAAAGAGGTGCAGATTGAGAGGGAAAAGGCGGTCAATGATATCACTGCCGTGGCTCGAGAAAAGATCGCCAAGGCTGTTGGACTTGGATTGAAGGTACTTACATTTTTCCGCGTCTTGCTTAGGTACACTCGAAAAAACCACATTGGATCTAGAGTTCAGACTCTTAAAAACATCGACAAGAAAAAATACTATTGATTCAATCAGATTCAAGCTTAAATAAAAAACCAAGCCTCTTAATTTGAGCGGATGTCCCTTTGATTTAAGTTTAAATCTGATTGAATCAAGAGTATTTTTTCTTGTCAATGTTTTCAAGAGTCTGGACTCTAGATCCACGGTATTTTTTTTTCTATTTTCTAGTGTACAATGTCGTTGGCCAAAATGCGGAACCATGTATGTCCGTTTGGAACCTTGCAGACTTCCTGTCATGCTTTGCTTTTACCGTAATTTCTCGAAAACTTCTCCGATTTTCCTTCAAAGTCAGCGAAAAATTCTGTATGAATTTCAAGCTATTGAGTTAGCTTGTTTCTCTACAAAAAAGTAAATGAATTGAAACACCTCAATGGTTTCGCTTATGAACGTAGTTTCGTTTTATTACTTTAACAGAAAGCTCAGCGACATTCTGATCTAACTTTTTTTTAGTACATTCTTTGTGGCGTAGGAAAAATCCTACAAAAGTTCAAAGCCAAAATTGTGCTCCTACATGCTTTTTCCCTCTGTATTCAGATTTTCAGCTTTACGCTGATTTTTAACGCGCGTCGGCTAAAAAATTCCAACACACTGTCTCCCATTTACATTACGACTCTGCACTGGAAGAAGAAACACATTGGATCTAGAGTCCAGACTCTTGAAAACATTGACAAGAAAAAGGACCCTTGATTCAATCAGCTTTAAGCTTAAATCAAAAGGAAATCCGCTCAAATTAAGAGGCGTGGTTCTTGATTTAAGCTTACATCTGATTGAATCAAGAGTATTTTTTTTTGTCGGTGTTTTTAAGAGTCTGGACTCTAGACCCAATGTGTTTTTTTCCCCAGTGTATGTTGTACTCCATGCCTAAAATATGATTGAATTGTTAAGTTGGTAGACGTCCCGGCTCAAATGACGATGGAAGCGGTGCGAGGTGTGGTGGCGGCCCCTCGGATGGCGGTCAGCGCGGCCGGCGCGCTGGGCAAGGGCGTGAACCAAGGGTGGAAAAGCGTCGTCACTTTCTCGAGAGACAGCCTCAGCCGCGAATCCGGTGGGACAGACGGCTTGGCGGGCATGATCAACTCCAGACTCTGGGGGCCCATGCCTGAGGGGCAACAGCCCCCGACGTCGCCTCTTCCTAGGACGGACAGTCAGAACTCGCCGACCGCCGAAGAAGTCAACGCCATGATACACAGGTCCAACAGCGGGCGCATGGATGGGCTCAACAGATGGCTTTTCGGATCCCCGCCGAGAGGAGCTTCGCAGAGAGCCCCCAGCTCCGGGTTCAAGTTAGGCGGCCTTGGCAAGAAGAGTCTCAAAAACCCTTTCTCGCGCAAGGGTTCCAGCTCCGGATGACGCACTTCGTCTCTTCCAGCGGGCTGACTGTTGAAATAGATAGACAAAGCTATAGACACAGGACACAGGGAGTAAGGAATGATCCTTTTGGTTGAAATGGCCGGTTCTTATTGACTAAATGGGTAAATGAAGGACCAACTAAAAGGTCTCTCGTGGGTTGCCGATAGTTAGTCTATTACCTACCTCCTTTGTCCGTTGCAACCACAGGCTTCCACCAATAGGATCCCTCCATATCCCTTTTGTCCTCTTTGTCTAGAGCTTTGTACATCAATTTCAACAATCAGCCCGCAGGGTACCTAGCAACCTGGAAAACCGGGAAATGACCGGGAATTTTATTTTACAAGCGACTTTTCAATGTTCGTGTCAGGGAAACATCAGGGAAATCGAAAAACACGGATTTTCTTTTTGTGGAAAATTGATGATGAATCAAGTTTCAGAATAATGGAATCGTAATTGAAGTTTCTACCAGAATTTCCGTTGATGTCTTTTAAATTTTAAAAAAGAGGCAAACGTGTTTCGTATAAGTTTAGGCACTATAAATTTTGCTCTAATTATTACATCATATCCCTAAAAAATGAATAAATTCTTACTTACATCTAATCAACCGTGTCGAAAAATTGGGAATAATTTTCCTTTTTGTCAGGGAAATGTCGACAAAAACGACAAAATCTCACATTTCCTGAGAGTGAAAGTATAGTAATTTCTAATTTTGTCGTCTTTTGGTGATACAAGAGACAACATCTTTAATTAGTCGAGTTAAGAGAGAAACCAAACACGCAATTTGACCTTGATCGGAGCGGCTTAGAGAGCAATGATGACGAGGACTGAGATGAAAAGGAGAAGCCCTCGGCGCGGCGGTCGGCAAGAAACGCATAGCGCCTACAAGACTGAATGAATACTTCACGCATTGCGTCAAACACACTGCGGTCAGCAGCAGTCGGCTTGAAATGCATAGCGCCTACAAGACTGCAAGAATGCTCCACGCATTGCGTCCAATAGTGCGGTCAGCAGCGGTCGGCGGAAAACGCATAGCGCCTACAAGACTACATGCATCACGCATTGCGCCAAACACTGTGCGGTCGGCGCAGCGGCAGAAATTAACATTATTAAACCACATTTATGTTTGTTCTCTCATAATTTTTTCGTTCGTTCGTTATAAATGGAAGGCCTTGTCCAAACAGGGATGGGTTTACGGAACTTAATTTTTGCGTAAAGTTCCGTGAACTTTTGCCAGTGTTGACAGGGTTTTCACAAAAAATGTGTCCAACACGAGTAAACGCGTCTCATACACATATAGTACATAGAGTCGGAATGCAAGTGGGAGAGCTGGCGCCACTTTTAAGCATTTTCCAGGTCCCAAATTCCGAGATTCCTGTGCGGCGCCGGGTCCCTTTTTCGATACATAGTCGATTGTTTGCGGCACACGGGGACCCGGCCATATTCCACACCGTCATTTTGGATCGAATATGTATCGAAAAAGTGACCCCGCACACCGGGCTCGGAACTCGTCGAGCAGAACATGGCGCCAGCTCTCCCACTTACATTACGACTCTATGTACTCTGTAGTCATACACCCCTCCCCCACCAGCTCGTTCACTTGACGAATGAGACGGGGGCGGAAAATACAGGCGACCAATGGGCGGAAAGTAGGTAAATCCGGCCCTGTACTCATTTTGATTCAATGCTGAATCAAAGACAGCAGATCCTGTGTCAATCTCCATGATGTAGATTAACTTTGTTGGCGCGGACTGAACGGCTACAGAACCGCTCCGTCGAAAGCGCGGATAAAGATCTCTCTATTTTAAGCATCTATACTATAAGCTCCAAGACCTCCTAATTTTGCGAAACTGGTAACGCTTAGTTCCAGCGTTCTACCGGGCCGATTTTCATGATTTTTGCGGTTATCGACGGGCAATTGTCTCCAGATAAGCCAACTCTTTTCAGATTTTCAAAATATGGCTCAGGTTTTTTTATATTACGTGGTAAAGTTGCGAATTCTCCCATTTAAACAATGTAAATTTATACTTTTTGTCATAGTTCGTTTGAGCGTTCTACCGGGCCGATTTCCATGATTTTTGCGTAAATCGACAGGTAATAGGCCCTAGATGAGCCCGCTGTAATCAGATTTTGGAAAAAGGACCCAGGTGTTTTTAAAATCACGTTATAAAAGTGAGTGAGTTTACAGAATGCTCCGGCACTGCTACCGCTATGCGCGGGAGGATGCGCAGTGGTCGAGGAGGTTGCGCAGTAGCTGTGTAGCCTGCGCATCAGCTCTACCTACACTTATCTACACAAGATTCGCGCTGAAACTTCGTGACGAGCGGTGGCCGAGTCGTCTGAGACGTCGAATGCATCCACCTTAAACTCGGTGTGGGTTCGAACCCCGACATGTGACATATGCATTATAATCTGACTATCATTGTTCATTGTTTTACTGCAATATTTCATCAAGCAGTCATTCCAAAACGCGTCCTTTTAATTTTAAAGTAATTTTAAGTAAAGTTTAAAATTAAAGTATACCTCATATCGTAATTTTTTAGGGGAAAAATAAAACTAACACTGATAGGAGGGTAAATATAGGGCCGCGAAGCGGCCCATTGATGGCGCGGAGCGCCTTCAGGGGGTTGGGCCGCGTAGCGGCCAGGGGGCGTAGCCCCCTAGTATTCTATATACACGACCGAGGTTCTGTTTTCACAATAATAATACGAAGTGGCTATTCGTCGGTACGGTACCGACGGATAAATGGCTATTCGTCGGTACCGTACCGATGAATAAATAGCTATTCGTCGGTACCGTACCGATGAATAAATAGCTATTCGTCGGTACCGTACCGATGAATAAATAGCTATTCGTTCGGTACCGTACTTTGATTTTAGTACGTAAATTATTTTAAAGATATGATTTCTTAATAATATTTTGGTGGAAGTTAAGAGCTAAAAATTGGATGAAAGATGGAAAAAAAACCCAACACGAGTTGTAAAAAAATATTCTCCAAATTTAATTTATGTATTTAATACTCTCACATAATACTGAAATGTACTACTCTGTCAAATAAATAATCATAATACTGAAATGTACTTCACTGTCAAATGAATCATCATAATACTGAAATGTACTACTCTGTCAAAAGAATCATCAAGAACGCTTCTTTTTTCGGGTGGTGGTGCCTTTAGTTTCATTTGCAGGTGTTTTCTTCCGTTTTCGTTTTTCGGGGGGATTTTCCACAGATTGTCGGTCGGCAACGGTGCGATTAAAGGAACAAAGTACGCTGCTCATTTTCGAAGCGGTCAAGATACGTTTTCTGATAAGGTGCCTCAGGGCTACACGGTTTATCGGCACTTAGTATCTCCGTGTAATTACAACAGAGCACCACAGATGGCGTTTGCTTGTTCATTCGGACCAAGGCTTGACAACACATTTTTATTAATTAATGTCACCGATGCGGTACCGACGAATAGCCATTTATTCATCGGTACGGTACCGACGAATAGCCATTTATTCATCGGTACGGTACCGACGAATAGCCATTTATCCGTCGGTACCGTACCGACGAATAGCCTCATCCATAATAATATACTGTAACTGAAGAAAAAATTCAGAATAAACCAGAGAGTACTACGGATGGTCTCTTTTTTCCTCTGCCGATTATTTTCGGCGTGATTTTACTGTTAAATAAACGCCAGCCACATGTAAGACGGGGGAGTGATACCACTAATGTGCCACGCGGGAACTCGGGTTGCCTACTTTGTAAAATGAAGGTGAACAGGTGAACAGGCCTCCTCCAAGACCACCAAAAGCGTTGTACTTTACACTAAAAGACGTTTGTAACTTTCTTACCCATGCAATGCAGAAATACTTTAAAAATAAATTAATTGTTTTCGGCTAAGCTTTACTCTGTTATTTCGGACCCGATCTCTGAATCGAATCGATTCTTCCTAGCCGATTCAGATCAATTCTAGAGAATCGATTCTGAAACCGAGATTTGCTATCAATCACTAAATAACGTACCGTCCACTGCGGATTCAGTGACCCAAGTATTTAGATTTTAGAGCCTTAACCGTAGCTCTGGCCTTGCAGCTACGAACTCTAAATCCAGAACGTTTTAATCCGGTACGGGCTGTATGCTTTTATAGCCCATGGCAGCGGCGGACTGGCCATGGGTTGGGGAGGCGATCGCCCCCTAACAATTTGCCGCGGAGGTCCCGAAGGGGCCTTCGCGGCGATTTTTTTTCGAGTCATCGTTTTATTCCCGTAATGTTGTAATTTTCCTTATCAGTCACTATAAGGCCTCCTTGAAAATTCGTCTCTATAAGAGACATAAAAGGTTGCCTAAAGCTTATAATACAGAATATACCTCATATACCTACAGAAAAATCTAGTGGGCTCCTGGGGCCCCTTCATCACTTCTAAGGACCCCGAAGAATCCTGAGAATGGGTTATTTTGAAGTACAAATACTCTTAAATTTGACTCCAAAAATGCTTGTATTGCGTTTTGAAAGAGTACAATTTTTAAAATTATCCGGGGGAAGGGCCCCAAATCTAGGTCGCCTCCTGACTTTTTGACTGCCAGTCCGCCCCTGGCCCCGTGGCTCCCAGCTCTGATTTTTTTTGAAATGCTTATGCCTCCTCTTAGTTGTCATCTATCGAGTTCTATTGGGTGATTCTCTTATGGAAATCCTTAGCTTAGGTCAGAGTATCATGAGCCATCGCAACTTCTGGAGGTCCCCAGTTTAGGTCCAGATATCGCAATCCTATGCATTTGACTTCGGGGAGTACCCTAAACAGAGGCGCGGATCTAGCAATTTGGCAACACCGAATTCTCTCCATTTAAACCAATGTCAAATAATCGATTCTTGTCGGAGCACCTGGCCTTTCCAAAAATCGACTCATTTTCATAGGTTTAAATGAGGAAAAAAACGTTGCCAATTTGCTGAATTTGCCAATGACCCAAAGCAGTATTGTATGAGTACAACAAAAATCCAATGAAACGCAATGGCGCGGCGTACAGTGGATCGAGTCAATTACAGATCGGACATAAAATTTTTGACTAAAACTGTAAATTTTTGTGTTCATTTCGTCACATTTTACATTTCTAGGGATGCTTTGAGTTGACAATTTCACGAGAAAACCGACGGAACCACTTTTGGAACCTCGAAATTTTGTGTAAACGGAGTTATACGCGTTTAAAGTTTCCAAATATTGTCCGACCTCTCCTATTAACTCGATCCATTGTGCGGCGATTCGTTTTTTAAACCGCTGCCCTCGTCTAACCGTGAGTGAGAATGACCGTTCTGCCCAATACTGCCGTGCTAAGGAAAAACGCCGTATGAACATTCGAGAGTTGCCAAATCTCCTTAAATAAAATATTCATTTTTGAGGCTAGATACGAACATTTTTATTGAAATTTTCAGGGGCTTTAGGTTAAATTGCGAACAAAATTATCTGAAAAATTGGAAGGAAAATGTTCATAAGTTTACTAGGAAATTTGGCAACGCTTGAATGTTCGTACGGCGTTTTTCCTTAGCACGGCACAATACACAGTCCTGCGTGAGTCAGCTCCANNNNGGGGGGGGGGGGGGGGG